AATAACCTAATCCTTTTTCCAATCCAAGTTAAACTAATAATAAAATAAAATAAAATTTAAATACTAAAAAGGTAATTAAAATATATTTTACGTACAATATTTGAGTAATCTTTTTTATATATAACATATATATAAATATACACATCAGATTATTACTAAAAACTTTCCTTAAATATATATATATATATATATATATATATATATATATATATACATATCCAACCGTCCATGGATAATTATCCATACCCATCAAATCCCTTATCCAAGTAGTCCATGGAGCCCAATTGGTTGGTCCATTACCACAATCCATATCTAATTCCTTAAAAATAAAAAATAAAAATAAAAAAATAAAAAAATAAAACAATTAAATTCCTAAACAAATACACATCATCACACACAATTTCATTTAAACAAATAAATCAATTAACACATTTAAATAAATAATTAAATCAATTAAACAAGTAAACAATTAGCTAAGAAATCAACTAAATAATTAAATGCAATTAAAATAATTTTTAAAAAATACCGAGACTATCCTTTTAAAATCAGGGGTATTACAGTTCGAGAGACAAAAGTACGGACAGATGGTAGCATTATTTTGGCATGAGCATGCAAGGATACTCATGTTTTAAAACCCTTTGATTCTGACTTTTGAATTGCTTGTGAGTGGAAGTATCAATCATGCAGCTTCTACAAAAATCACATCCTAGTAGTGACCTACAATAGATTAAATTAATCCCACCAATTATTATGTACATATGTCTAGACCATATATATCCATCTGTACAGATCCATCCCAGTCTGAATGTATAAGATCCACATAGTTCAAATAACACTATTCATACCTATTATATAATTATCCCAGATCATTCAATGAACTCAACTAAAATCATACACTGACATTCTCTTATATATATGAAAATTGAGAGATTCTATAACCAATCATTTTGATATATCCATAATCCGATCAAGGAAAACACCAATACCTCGATAAAATAAATCATTCTAATTCACATATAAATTAACTATCAACTGAAATATAAACAAATTCTAATAAATCAGTAACTCCATGTGTAATCTCCATAAATAAGTCTAATTAAACATAATTATCATGAGTTCTATAATTAAATCATAGATAATCATCTTACTATCAAATCACATAATTATATGCAGGATATAAGCAAGAATTAACTTGCCTGAAATACAATCACCACTTGAGCTTTTCTTCGCTTCACAACAACGAATGCGTAAAACTCCTCGGGATAGCAACGTAGGTAAAAACCTAATACAACTAATTCTATATATATATATATATATATATATATATATATATATATATATATATCTAGTGGTTGAGTTCAATAAGAACTCTTTTAAAAAATCAACCTAAACTAAATAATAGCTAGCGTTATCTCCGTCAAATAATCTAATCATTCGTTATCCTTTTCGTATTGTTATCTCCTTATATATATATATATATATATATATATATATATATATATATAATATAACACAGTTAACTAATACGGGTGTTAAAAAAAAATCATGGTTGTTAAATAAATAAATAAATCTACATCTAAATTAACATGCATGCACAAAAGTTGAACATTGTTATAATAATCCAATGAGCTAAGGTACTTGCACACATTGTTGATTTGTTTGGATTTTTTTTTTTTTCTCAAACTATGCAGAAGTTATAAGATCGTTGAGAGATGTCCAACCATCGCACTATATGTTCAAAATAGAGTCTTTTTCAGCCCTTCGGGAAACAAAACTTGAGAAATATGAATCGAATGTTTTTGAAGCTTGCGGTTATAAATGGTGTGTGTGAATTTTACTTGCTTTATTTCTTCAATTTTGTTTATCAGAACAAAAAAAAATTACTTTTCGTTTTTGGGGTTTCAGGAGATTGTCTTTCTATCTAAATGATAATAAGAGAAGAGATGCGAAAGATCACATTTCACTCTATTTAGTAATAGCTGACACAAAAAAACTTCCTAATAATTGGGAGGTTAACGTGAACTTCAAGTTATTTGTCTTTGATCATAAATGTGACAAGTACTTAACCATCGAAGGTAACTACTTTCTTCATAACACATTTATAAATTGTTCTATCATTTTCATATCACAAATTTATATATGCACAAATTTATATATATAGATGTCGGACAAGTAAGGCGCTTCCATAGCATGAAGACAGAATGGGGTTTTGATCAATTTCTTTCACTCGATACATTCAAAAATCCTTTGAATGGGTATCTCGTAGATGATTGTTGTGTATTTGGAGCAGAGGTTTTTGTTATTAAATCTGCAGGCATAGGGGAGGTTTTTCCATGAAAAAGGAACTACATAACCACATTCACACTCGGAAGATTCGTCATTTTTCATCAATTAGCCAAGGAGCCTTTTACTCTAAAGAGTTTAAAAACAAACAACAAAAGTGGTATGAGTTCTTTTTAATTATGTTTTCTTGGAATTTGAATAAAATTTGGCTTGTTAAATTTCTAAAGTAAGCTATTATATATCTATATATGCCTTTTTGAATTTGAATTCAGGAAGATACTCCTCCATCCCAGAGGAGAAGATGGCGGAAAACATTTATCCCTCTTTTTTACAATAGCTGATTGTAAGAAACTTCCTCCGAATTGGAAAATTTATGTAAATTACAAGGTGAGGGTAAAAAACCACATCAACTACAACCATGAGGAACGTCAAGGTGAAACCATTTTTTTTTTTTTTTTGACCTGCTGTTGTTAAAATTGATCTTTGTTTTTTGGTTTTTAATTGTAATTTCTATTTTCTTGAAAGTTTTTTTTTTTAATTTTTTGTTCTTTTATTTTTTATTTAAATTTTTTTCCCTGAAAAGTTGTTAAACCAATAGTTTCCATGTTTACAAATTGCAACTTTGCAGGTGGCAGCTATTTTTGTGCCTCGAGTAAAACTTGGGGTTTTCCTAACTCTATGTTGCTAAGCAATTTTCATGACGCATCAAAGGGCTACAAAGTGATGGATTCTGCAACTTTTGAAGTAGAAATTTTGAGCTTGGGTGCGATTAAGAGCTTCAATTAAAAATGTTTATTACAGAGAAATTGGGTTAATTTATTGAGATTAACTTACCCTCACCTCCAAATAAAAATAAATAAAAAATAAAAAAAGAGGTCTGTTGAGATATTCTTTATTGAACATTGTACATGCACAAAAATTAAGCATTAAACTACAAAAAAAAATTAAAAAAAATAAAAAAAATTAAGCATTGTTATATGCAATGAGCTAAGGTACTCATGTTGTTTGGGTTCTTCAAACTATAGCATAAGTTAGAAGCTCTAGATTTCCAGTTACCACTCTCAATGATTCAGGATTCAGTCATGCCACTACAGTCAGTGCCTTCATACTAAACTCATCATGGCGCTTTCCCAATTCACTTACAACTGCAATTCCAGAGCTGTTGTCATTGTATCCTCCATATCCATCAAGAACTGAAAAAAAAAAAGTTTGGGTTGAATCACCCTCAGGTATGTACAGCTTAAAGCACACTTTAGCTCACCTTGCAGGGCAGTTTCCCACAGTCCATTGGCACACCCTGGTATGGCACTCACCAACAATACCGAGAATGAAGTTCAATTTTTGGTTGGCTGTCCAATCCAAACTTCCCACACTTGACAGCAAATCAATGGCACACCATCATGACCAATGTTTCCTCTTCTAGAACTCACAAGAATCACATGAGCATTTATTTTTCAAATGCTGTTTCATATCACCAATTTGGAGATTCATCAAGGAAAAATGTCAATTCTTTACGTCTATCTCCAATTGGGATGCCCTTGTCCACTTCATCAGCATACATTGGAAGACCAATTCCCTTCGTAAAGTTTGCTTCTCTTCTTGTTGGGCATCCAATCAGCTCATTTGTTTTTGAGCTTTAGTCATGGTTGTTTAAACTCGGTCACTTTTTAAATTTAAAGTGTCACGTGGACTGCCTTATCTCATTTGTTTAGTACTTACCTTATCCGTATCATTGAAATACCTTAATTTAAATCTTTATCAGTTGGCCCCAATCCCGAGCTTGGTCTTCAAACACTATAATTAATTATTTAATCATACTTAAATAAATTAATTTTTAATTGGATTAGATTTATTGTTTAATTATAATTTATAATCATCTAATAATAATATAGGATCCTAATTTGATCTTTTCAAATGGAAATAAACGACTTTGGAAAGGTACAAAGGGCAATTTGGTCTTAGCATTATATTAAAGTTAGGTCACATATGTCATTTTATACGAAAGGTACATGACCTATAGTCTTTCTACACATTTGGGCGTAAAATAGGGATTACATTTTAAAATTAAAGTCATTGGAGGTGCCCCAGAGGCTTGGTAGAGTTGGTAAGGTCACGGCTTGTGTTCCTCAAGGTCTCAGGTTCGAACCCGTCTATCCCTATTATTCTCTTGACTCATCTGCTACTTTCACTGTGAGGCCGGTGTTGGTAGCCGGTGGTTTACCTTATAACTTTAGCCTGAAGGGAGGTCGTGGCGGGGGTTCCCACGTCATCCCCCCCCCCACCAAAAAAAAAAAAAAAACACAACAACGGTCGTTGGAGGTCAAAATAATTTTTTTAAACTAAAGGGTACATTTTGTAAGTTTCCCAATCTATAGGGGCAATTAATATAATTTTTTCAAATACATATATATACCCTCTATCTCATGTTAGTTGACCCATTTGAAAAGTCAAAACAAAATTAAGACTATATATATATAATTACTTTTTAAAATTTCAAAAATCTCAAAATTTAGTAATATGCATATTTAAATTTAAAATGATAGCTTAATAATTTCAAAAAAAATAATATATTAATTACATTACTCATAAAAATTCCTAATAACTAATATGAGACAATGGGAATATATATATATATATATAAATAAATACAAGTGATATTGTCAGGGAACTCACTATAATAGCCAGAGAAACTGTCAAAGTGTCACCAAGGATAATTGTGTAATTCTAGCTGAAGGAGTGGCCAATAAAAAAACAGTAGAACTCATCATCATCATCATCATCACAAACTGGTGGCTGTGAAGATAGCAAAATAAACAAGGAATTGCAATGTCGCTAACAGCAACTGTGAGCAAGTTTGCTTCCTGCAATGTACCTGTAGATGGTAGAAGAGAGAGAAAATCACGAACAACAACTGGGTTGATGGAAATTGGAAGGAGAGGCCTCCTCCTATCATCAACTGTGATTGCAGCTTCCCAAGTCAATGACTCTAAGACTGAGCTTCTTAACAGTAAATATATATATATATATATATATATATATATACATACATATTTGAATCTGCTTTTGGTCTTTCTGTTCATGGGTGTCTGAACAATTGAAACATTTTTCAGGATATCGGAAGAAATCAGAAGAAAACAAGGCCAAAAATGATAAGGAGGTAAATACCATATGCAATTGATTACCCATTTTATTTCTTATATATAATATGCCATAAAACACACACACACAGACACGAAAGGAGTGATTCTGTGTCTACTGATATTTTAACACACCCTTTATCCTCTTAATCTCTGTTTTCTCTAATGTCTTCTTCTTCTTCCATTTTTTTTTATTATTATTTTTTAAATTTTGAAACAGAGACTAGATAGTTATTACAAGAGAAACTATAAGGATTACTTTGGATTATTGGGAGGTTCTTTGAAGGGGAAGGAGGAGCTTTCTGAATCAGAGAAGGGCATTCTTGATTGGCTAGAAAGTAACAAATAATGTTACATCTTTTCTTGCTATTTATTGTTGAATGTTTTAAGTTTTTGGAACTAAATTCTTAAAAATATATATAATGATATATATTTTGTGGGATGCTGTTAATTAAATTGTGGATTCATTACGGTCCATTAAAAGTCGTAAAATTCAACTGCCTTTTTCAAAGTGGGGTTCAACTGTTAATATAGTACTAGTTGATTATTCTTGAGCTTTTGTGATGAGCCTAAACAAGACTTTTGTGTGCACCTATAATTTTTTTATAGATAAACTAATCAAACCATACATTTTAAAGGATAGATTACACTGTCCGTGAGGCTTGGACAAGTTTGAAATTACAAGTAGACTCCGAAGAGGGTTAGGTTTTTATTACTTTGACCCAAGTATAAAATATCTTTCACACCTTTATCTATTTTAATAATAGTTTAATAAAAAAATTGTGTCAAACCAAAAGACTCCACTATTACCCTTTTTTTTTTTTTTTTTTTCATTTCATATTATAAATACCATATTACCTTACCTAATATTTTTATTTTTAAAATAAAATCCTAATCAGACTCTAAAAAGAAATCTAATCAAATCTCTTTAATAAAAACAAATGCTTTTGTGAATTTTAATAATATAAAATTGGTATGAAAAATTAATACTTTGCATTTCATGTCAAAATATATAGGGCAAATTACACTCACATTCCTTGAAGTTAGGTAATATTTCAACTAAATTAAGATTTTGATTTTAAATTTCACTTACATTTAAACTAATGGTTTAGCATTTCATTTACACCCCAAATGTTAGTTTTTGGTGGGATCAGAGTACTTTTGAGGTGTTAAAAGACTATACTACCCTGTGACCACGTGTTGACTATTTTTGTGACCAAACTACCTTCAACATACACCAATGCCTAGGAGAGAGAAAAGAATATCCGCATCAGCAAAATACTTCACACATAAGCCGTCTTCTCTCTCCTCCAATCTTTTTCTCTCTCTTTGCACAGACCCATCCCGATGATACCAATCACCCCATTTTCTTTACCCATAGCCTAGCAAACCAGAGACAACAACTACAAACCCAAGAAGTCCCACATCAACAACAACCCAGACTGGCTAGCTCACCTTCTATTCTTCAATGTCTCAAGTCCATCGACTTCTTCATCTATAGATCCAAAGACCTTAACCCATCAACCAAACTCTAGTGGCAATGTCTCATCCCTACGGGCGTCACCTACGACCATTTTAGCATCTAGACCTGGCTCAACTCTGGTCACAACACCTATCCTGCCACCATGCAGATCCTCGACACCACCAACTTCGTCCCCACCCTTACCTTCCGCCGTCTCATCCACCTCTGATCCGATCAGCCACTAGAATTTGTCCACTTCTCTAAAGTACCTCCTCCAATCTCAAAGCAAGAAGTAGTTCAATCGATCAGAAAAATTAATAACCATGCTGTAATGACCTGGTCATTTTCATTCCTTTCCTTTTTTCAGATTTTCACGGATATTTTTTTTCCGTTGATCTTTTCTTTTCTAAGTTCAGTCTTTCATCATTTAATGTCATCTTTAGTGCTCAGGGATGGTTTCCGAGACTCTTTCCTTTAGATTGACAACTTCTCTTAAGGACCGAGTCATTTTCACATTTTCACTTTTTGGACATTATTCACTTTTCGTCTTTTTTCCGTTTGTCACTTTGTTGGCACAACCTTACTTTTCGTGTTCGAATTTGATTCTGGTTTTGCATGCATCAACAATATTTAAATTTCACGCTATATGTATTTTTACTTTCTTAGAAAAGTATGCTAAGTGTTTACTTTTTTTGTAAAGGGTATGGATGCATAACCTTTTTGTAATATTCTTAACTTGTGGGGTTTTAGTGTAATGAAATAAAGTAATTATTTTTCGTCTTAGGGACCATTTTGTAATTTAATTTAGAAGATATTTTGTAGAAGGACCTTTTTGCAATTTTTGAAAAATGTGACAAGTGTCACACTCCTATGGAATCACTTGTTGACATTTTGGTGGAACCACTTGGAAACTTAATCTCTTGACACATGGAGGGTGGAGATTCACCCACTTGTTGGCCTAGGATTGGACCACTTGTTGGCTTGGATGGTTAACAAGTGTAGGCTAGGGATTAAGGAGCCTTAGATTAATGACAAGTGTAAAGTTCATTTTATGTCTTGCACTATGTGTGTGTGAAGACTATGGTGTAGACTCACATAGTGAGTGGAGGAATGTTAAATCCTCCACTTACCACATTTTAATTCATCTTCCTCACCACTTTGTTCTCAAACCCTAACCTAGCCTCCATGGAAGGAACAGCTTGACTTAAGGCTTTAACTTCATTTTTGGTCTCCTTCCACTCACATTAGATCTTAAAGCTTGGAATACTTTTTGTTCCCCTCATCCTCCTTTGCATAACCCTTGAAGGGTTTCCCATTTTGTGTTGATTTGTCTTGGATTCAAGAAGAACAATCCTCTTGTGAGGTAAGAGGTGTTGTAATTTATTTTTAAAGTGGTTTTACTTGCTTTTGTATGAAATATAAGTTATATGCATGTCTTTTGTTAATTTGAGAAATTAATGATGTATCATAGCTTGCATATAACTCATTTTAGATTTGATATGAGGCATGTCCATGACTTGATCTTTTTTATATATTAAATTAGAATGATTTAAATGAGTTTTCAAATCTAGAGATTAAATAAATTTAATTTGATTTAAATTCTAATTAATTGTGTTTTGCTTGTATTCCATTTTAGACTTGATATATGGTATGACCATGACTTAGTGCTTGAAATATATTAAATTGAGATCATCTGAACAACTTTTGAAATCTAGAGATTTAATTGATTTAAATTAATTAAATTCTATTTGATGATATCTTGCTTATTTTGCACTTTTGATTTGATATATGTAATGAGCATGTTATGTTGTTTAACATATATTAATTAGAAGTTATTTGAATTTGATTTGAAATTTAGAGAATTTAATTATTTTGTTTAATTAAATTCTATCTAATGGCTCCATGGATCTATTTGTGTTTTAGAAGTTGTTTCTATATTCAAATCACGGACTTGGACTTGTTGTGTATTCACTTGGTTAGGTTTTGAGTATTGGATAACATTGTTGTTATATTTATATTCATGAGAACATGTTTTCTTTATGGAATATATTGTTGCCTTGTGTAATGAATTTCACACTTTACAATTGACATTATATATGCCATTTTAGAATTTAAAGTCTAAGGTATAGATTGTGTGGTTTCAACCTACTTGTACATGGAAGGTGATTTCGTGCATTATATAAATTATGTATAAGTTATGAACTTATTTGATTTATTTTGGAATCTTGGAACATTGTTACAAGTGATATGGCTTGAGTTCGGTTCAAGTACGGGAGGTATGAGTTCTCCCTAATTGAGATAGTGCGCACTAGGGTGGTCTTCCCAGTGGGTTAATGCCTTGAATAACCGTATTGATCTTGGTTCATTCCGAGACGTGATATCCAAGTCATCGACTATTTAATTTTGCATTCAATTCCAAGTTGACAATCATGTTTAATTGTGGCTTGTGGTTTTGGTTATTAGCAATTTAATGTTGTTAAGTACATTTAAGCATTATGATTTTTAAGGAATGATGTTGTTAAGTACATCTATGCTAAATTGTCATATTTAGTTGTTTTCGCACTTGAGATTTCAAGTTGATAACTTTGAGAATCTATATCTTGTTACTTTGTATAGCATGCTCTTATATTGTTTGGAATTGCATGAAGGATGTGATTTATGCTAGGAATGATCTAGAGTAGCTTAGGATGCTCCCTGAGTCTCACATTTGGCATAGACGTTAGGTGGCATGATCCTTTTGAATTGTTTCAACTTAAGGTAATAATCTTGTAAAATGTTAGGTCTATGCATGCTCATCTCCTACGAGTAGCCTTATGTTGCTCACCCCAAAGTTACCGGGGATTTGTTCAGGTATGAAGACTTGGTTCGTGATGTTCATTATTGTTTAGATGATGGTGGACTTGAAGGTTTTAATTCTTATAAAGGTTGGCTTGAAATGACACTTGTAGCCTTATTTGTCAAAATGTGTATATTTAATTCTAAATATGTATTGTGTACATGAGTACACTCTTTGTAATGTATTTGACATGTTTGAGATGAGGCCGGAGGCCAATGAGATGTATTTTTTATCTTATGTAATTTTTGACTTCATGAAATTTTATGAAAATATTAAAAAATGTCAAGTTATTGTTTCACTATGGTTGCATCGGGTGTGGGAATTCCATTTTTATTCTTTCATAAGGTCTTATTAATCCGGTATGAAGTGTGGCCAAGGGCCAAATAGGTAATTTGAAACCATTTCATAATTTTTTATTTCAAAATTTCCATTTCAAGTTCATTTTCTCTTCTTTGGCCGTTGGGGGGTCGGATTTTGCATCGGTGGTATTTTTAAGCCATGGACCATTGTGGCATGTCCTATTAGGTGAGTTACGTTTGCATGCATGTTCGTTTTCAAGAAAAACTTCTCTATTGGTGAAATGAGCCTCCTATGGACTCATTTTGCATTTTTATTACATAATCTGGTCTAAGGGTATTTTGGAGTTTTCCTTCGAGAAATAAATTCTGGATTTGAGATGGTTCCTTAGAAAACATAATTTTAGGAGGGGAAGGGGGGGGGGGGGGGGTTTCTTCTTTGTGTTTTTCAAAAAAGCTTCATCTTGGACACGAAAACCCTATTTCAAATTCAGTTTTATGGTAGAAATTTTTTTGCTTGCTGTCAACCTCATCTAATCAATTAGATGAGCCATCTAATTGATTAGATGGTCTTCCATGGGATTTCCAGCATTCTGTTTTGGCATCTAATCGATTAGATGATCATTAGATGATCATCTAATCCATTAGATGGACCTGATTTGCATCTTTTGACATTTTTTCTTCATTTGATTATAACTTTGTCATCTGGACTCCAAATTAAGTGAAATTTTTTTTTAACTTGACTAATTTTTCATCATCTATCCAACGGTGTGCTTGGTTATACCCAAATATTCATGGATAATTACCAGTTTACCCTTAAGTGCTCATTTTCCTTCGTCTTGCCGTTTCTCCTTCGTCCAAACTCCGAATCATTCGATTCTTGTGTCCATCTTGATTAATTTTTTGTTATCTTTACAATGGTATACACGGTAGCACCCATTCCCGCATAAAATGACCATTTTACCCTCGGTCCATTTCATGTAAGGTTTTGAAAACCTTATTCCCTTCTTGCTTCCTTTGAGTTTCGGGACTCCTCTGGAAGCCACTTTCATGTCTTAGGGATGAAGTACATCTCTCTAGACTTTCATTTCGTGTGAAAAGACTATTTTGCACTTGGAAGCATACTTGGTCTATTTTTGATGTTTTTTTCCTGCGTTAGTTCTCGTTGAGTTTCGTGGCCTCTTGGAAGTTCACTTTGGTTTCTTAGAGACGTATTGTATCTCTAGAGACTTCGGTTCTATTTTTCCTTCCGCATTTTGGATTCGTTATCGGATTTACATTTGGTTTATAACAAGACATACTGACCTAAAAATCAGGGCCATCACTGGTGGTATCAGAGCTCCTAGGTTCAGAAACCTATGGACGATGTGTTTTGGGTGCATATCATGTTTGTGTTGCCATGCTATATATGTTTATATGTTTCATGATAACATGTTTTGGTCTGATAGCATGTTTATATGCCTATGTGCTATATGTGGTATGTCGTTTGTTTAACATGATTTAATTCTTTTGTAAAGAGCACGACATATGATGTATGCTAGATTAAATTTGTATATGCATGATTGTTTTGCATATTTGACAGGGCTCAGGATTAGTCATGGGATGTTCGAGTTGTGGTTGAGTTGCTTGGTGAGTTGGCACTTGGTGTGATGGTTGGTCTGTCTGCTTTTGTTTAGGCACTCTTCTTTGATGTCTTTGTCAATTATCAGCACGATTTTACAATAGTTCAGGTCGTTGTTAGCCTAGCATTGACTTTAGATAGGTGGAGGGTCACCTTTAGTTTAGGCTCTCGTGAGGTGAGGCATTTGGCATTGCCATAGTGCTGGATTTGTTGGTTTTGGGCCATGATGAGGTTTTAGGCCTCTTAGGACCCTTGCTTGTTCGGGATGATTCCTCTGAGATTGCAATTTCGTTGGCGGGTACGTTTGTGGGTTGGTGCATGGCACTGTCATGCTACCGTACTAGCTAGTTACAAGTGCAGTTCGGATGGAATCAATGTTGGTTTTGTTTTGATAGGCGTTGTCCTTTTGATCAACGATGATGATAGTTATTTTTGGGATCAGTCGTAGTGATTGATTTGATTGTTGTTGGTATGGCTATAGTTACCATTTTCTTTAAGTTCTCTTGCGTGATGACGCTTTTGGGATCAAGTCAATTGATTGATGTTTCAGGTTAATAAGAGCAATGCATTATTAGTGTCACTTGTAGTGTCACCTTTAGATTTGGAGATGGATTATTGGAGTGTTACCCTTATGGTGAGGGCCCATATTTGTTTTGAGACATGTTGTGGTCGCATTATTTTTTGGAGTTAGATTATGGCTAGGACAGGTCATTCCTTTTACCTAGACACTTTAGGACACGATGTCCATAGGATTCATTAATCCATCATTTTATTTTCTGCAGTTTCATTTACTACTACGTTAGTAGTATGATTTATGTTATTGCAATGCATGAGTAGGTGGAAGTGTATCCACATTTGTCTTCTTATTGTGTGACATTAGCATGTCGTATTTCTATGCTTAGAGATGCCATGTTGTTACTTTACTTTAATGACATGCTTTTGTGTTACGTGGAGACGTGCCGCATGTACCTTTGATTTTATCTATGTGAATAGATTTATTTATTTGGTAGTTGCATTCCTTGTCGTATGCATGACTTCCATATTTAGTTTTCCCTTCTATTTACTTCGGTCGCACGTTGTTTGTGTGCCAGTTTCTGCAATAGTTTCGCTGTGAAATTCCTTGTAAAGGAATTCTCCTCTTTTTCTTTGTTCGTGTTAGGGACTTCACAAGGAGTGAGTCTCTTCTCTTCGTCACCTTGTGCATAATTTTGGGGATCACCATCATTATCTTGAGTCCTAGGTGAGGATTTAATAGATTTTAGTCGACTTACTCCCATGTAGGGGGCGAAGTCTTTGACCTTGTTGTTATTTATTTCAGAGGTAGAGTCGTGGTGTTGTCCTTTTTAGGACTGGTGGTTCCCTTTCTTTAGGGAGTTTTTTCGTGGTTATTAACGGGTTGTAGTGCTCAGAGTGAGTGGATTGGTGTGAGATCATTTTTCGGGGATTTGTGCCATATTATTGAGGATTTGTTTGATTCGTGAGGTGAGCTCGATCTTCTTTTGAGAATGTCTTTTGGAGACTTATTTCCGTTTTGGAGACTTGGATGTGGTTGACTTTTAGGAGAAATTTTGGAGGATCGCAGTTGGATATGGCTTCCTTGTGGAGTTTTCTTATCTTAGTTATGGCTCGACGTAGTTTTGAGGAATTGTAGTTCCAGTGATTTTTTATGAATCAAAATTGAGGAATTTTAATTTGGCTTGATACTGCCAAGCATGGTTTTGAGAGATTATTTTGTGACCATGGTTGTCAGGATTTTGATGTGTGTGCTACGTGGTGGACTTATTTTTTTTTTTTTTTTGAGGATTTAGTTATTTGTGATAAGGATTTTGATCCGATGTTTAATTACGGTATAGTCTTATAGTTGATCTATTTTAGGGAGATATGTAGGACTTTTGATGAAATGTCTTATAGTGAAGTTCGTTCTGATTTCTGGAGGTGTTGGTTTGCTTGTCAGGCTTTAGATTCGTGATTGATGTCGTTCATAGTAGTGTTTTGAGATGTTGGAGTTGTTGGTTTTGTTGTATTAAGGATTTAAGGCCTTAAGTGTAGCGGTACCTATGGCATTGTTGTTAGTGTTTTGGGATTGGCCAGAATGGTTCGACCGGACATCTTTAGACCATATTTCAACTCTCACAAAATGTTGGTCTCCGTAGTGCTTTTGGTAATGATCATTTTCGATATTGATGTCATTTGTATCGGGAGATTTCATGGGTAGACTTAGTGGGGGCAGGTTATGAACTGGTGCCTTATACTATCATGCTACCGTACAAGTTGTGTGTTGTGTGTTGTGGGCGGGTACTAGTTGTTGTCGATGCTACCGTACAAGTTGTGTGTTGTGTGTTGTAGGCGGGCACTAGGCACTGTCATTATTACCACACATTTGAGTACGTGGTGGGCGGGTTTTGATCGCTATTCGTACTACCACGTCATCTTTGTTCAGTACCTTGATTTGATATGTGATTATCTTGGAGCTCTTTTGGTGGTTGTATTTGGATCGGTATGATGGTTCGTCAGGAGGGATGCTTTCGGTTGTTGTCTTCAGTCCTTTTGTCTGACCTTGGATCTGTGTGTAAGTTCTTACTTGTTGTGTGGCCGAGAAGTCACTTTCCTTTCGAGAGGTTGTCCTGTCATGAGCGCGTAGGTGCGAAAGACATTAGTTTGTATATTGTCTTTCAATTTTGGGATTACTTTTGTAGCACGTTGTGTGGGATACTTTGAGTTGTACTCCATAGTTACCCTGGTTTCGCCTTTTATTATGTTGGGGCTGGATTTTGGGGATGAAATCCTTTTAAGGTGGGAAGGTTGTAATAACCCGGTCATTTTTATTCCTTTCCTTTTTTAAGATTTTCACAGATATTTTTTTCCCGTTGATCTTTTCTTTTCTGAATTCAGTTTCTCGTCACTTAGTGTCATCTTGAGTGCTCGGGGATGGTTTCCGAGAATCTTTCCTTTGGATTGACAACTTCCCTCAAGGACCAAGTCAATTTCACATTTTCACTTTTTGGACACTATTCACTTTTCGTCTTTTTCCCGTTTGTCACTTTGTTGTCACAACTTCACTTTTCATGTTCGGATTTGATTCCGGTTTTGCATGCATCCACGATATTTAAATTCCATGCTATATGTATTTTTACTTTCTTAGAAAAGCATGCTAAGTGTTTACTTTTCTTGTAAAGGGTATGGATGCATAACCTTTTTGTAATATTCTTAACTTGTGGGATTTTAGAGTAATTAAATAAAGTAATTATTTTTCGTCTTAGGGACTATTTTCCAATTTAATTTAGAAGATATTTTGGAAAAGAACTCTTTTGCAATTTTTGGAAAATGTGACAAGTGTCACACTTCTATGGAATTACTTGTTGACATTTTGGTGGAACCACT